ATGGCTCTTCCTTCTCCTGGGAAGCATTGTCGAAGCTCACTAGTTGCACCAGGTTGAGTTACAGCGTTACCCCTGGAAGCCGAGTGGGACCTCTCTCTACCAGGGGCTCAGTCTGTGGTTGTCACTTGTCTTCTTGCCCAGAGCTTATTAGGGAAGTAAGGAGCTGTAATTCTTGGCTTAAAACACAGGCTTCACTGCTCCTTTCATTCTACCATTTAAAGGGCCATTCCTCTTTCATCTTCAGATTGTCTTTGGACCTCCCAGTCTCCTTGGTAAGAGGTGATGCTATAATCTAAGTAATCCCTGCTAAGATGTTGTTGGGCCAGACCCCTATTGACTGCAATAAAGATGACACCGTGTCCTAAAGGCCAAAAAAGAGACCCAGAGACAGTGAATGAGAGATAATGCTTACATAGGGGACTTATATACAGGGATGGTTCAGTTGTGGTGTGTTGGACAGGAAAACTGCTACTATTTGTAAAACACACGCAGCTTACATAGCATTTTCACTTAGCACCCTCTACCTAGCAACCTCCACTTGGCAACATCTAGGTAACCCAAAACAAAGGGCTTCCATCTCCTGTATGGCCTGCCTTCTCAGGGAAGGGCCAGGGATTCAGATGTCCTTCATAGATAAGGAGTGAATCTCCAGGTTGGCTGCTCCCAGATTCCTTAGCCTGGAACTCTGAACCCATATTCTTTTTAGACTATAGGGCCATTCTCAGGGTATGCTCACATTAAGTCACTGCTGTCAGGTGTGCCTGCCATACAGCTGACAACTGATGACTGAAGCTATTTTTAGAAGTTATAAGCAAAAAGGATTAGTTGTCCCTTCACGTGCCCTGTGAGAAAGTATGTCCTGCATTCAGAGACACACAATGACCATTTGACAAGTTTGCTAAGACCATTCTGAATACACGATAAATTATTTCATAATACACCCATTCTAGTGGAAAGCATTGAACTGTGAGATTATTATTATTATTTGAGATGGAGTCTCACTTTGTCAACCAGGCTGGAGTGCAATGGTGTGGTCTTGGCTCACTGCAACCTCTGCCTCCCAGGTTCAAGAGATTCTCCCGCCTCAGCCTCCCAAGTAGCTGAGACTACAGGCCTGTGCCACCATACCCGGCTAAGTTTTGTATTTTTAGTAGAGACAGGGTTTCACCACGTTGGCCAAGATGTTCTCCATCTCTTGACCTTGTGATCCGCCCACCCCAGCTTCCCACAGTGCTAGGATTACAGGTGTGAGCCACCGCACCCGGCTGAACTGTGAGATTACTGATAGATAAGGGAAGTAGAATTTAAGATTCCCAAGTAGTTACGTGGCAAATCAGACTGCGCCATTCTTTCTTGCCTTCATCATGTGGCAAACTGCCCTGAGCATTCACTGAGTACTAACTACCCTGCTTGCTATTACAGATAAAAAGATAGAAACAGTACAATTCTTGACCTCAAAGCACTTGTGCTAAGATTTCTAGACTAGATCATACATATCAACAGAGCTGTAATGAGGGTTATAGGTGCTGTTGTATAATCATATTCAGATCACAGTGTAGGCACTAAGAAAAGTGTGGTCTGCTGAGAATGAAGGTTTCCAGCTTCATCCATGTCCCTGCAAAGGACATAAACTCATTCTTTTTTATGGCTGCATAGTATTCCATGGTGTATATGTGCCACATTTTCTATATCCAATCTATCATTGATGGGCATTTGGGTTGGTTCCAAGTCTTTGCTGTTATAAATAGTGCTGCAATAAACATACATTTGCATGTGTCTTTATAGTAGAACGATTTATAATCCTTTGAGTATATACCCAGTAATGGGATTGCTGGGTCAAATGGTATTTCTGGTTCTAGATTCTTGAGGACTCACCACACTGTCTTCCACAATGGTTACTTCTTTCTGAGGCAGGAGAGGGTGGCTGTGGTCTCTTGAATGACCTAGCCTACTACTTCTGGAGGGTAAGATCTGTGACTGTGGTCATTTTATACATCATTGTATCTATATCTCTACCATCTTGCACATAGTAGGTGCTCAGTGAGTAGTACTTAAATGAGCAAAAGCTGATGTTGCCAGAGGGCATGGTGAACATGAAGCAATGTAAGCAATTTAGCCCAAGAGTCAAGGTCCTGCGTGATCAGGCCCTGCCTCCCTCACCAGCTTCATCTCCGAAGCACTGCTCCCCCTCTGCCGTGATGAAGAGTTCTGGCTTTATCCTGAAGACAGTGGGGACCCATAGGAGAAGTTTAAGCACTGCCATGATGTGATCAGCTTTCAGAAAGACAGCTCTGGCTGCCGTGTGAAGGATGGACTGCAGAGGGCAACTCTGGAGCTGAGAAGATCATTCAGTTCTGTAGTAGTTCAGGTGGGAGAGTGCACCTAAGAATCCCTGGTGTTTGTCCAGGTCCCACCCCAGACCACTTAAATCAGAATCTCTGGTGATGGGATCCAGCATCCTTCCATATGATTCCAGTGAGAAACCAAGGCTGAGACTCACTAGTGAGAATTAAGAGAGTTGCAGAATGGAAAGGGGGTTATAGATGCAACGGCTGTTCGAGGTAGGGGAACAGCATGCCTAGGTAACAAAGCAGGGCTAGTGGAGAAAGGGGTGGAATTTAATTACTCACAGGTTCTGATTGGAGTCATTGAAAATGGGAAGTAGGGTGATTCACCTTCCCATTTTATCAGGGACTATCACGGTTTTCTTACTGAAGATCCCTCATTCTGCAATAGTTCATTACTGGTAGGGCTTGGATCTGTGACCTCACCCCAACCTCATGTCAAATTGTGATCCCTAGTGTTGGAGGCAGGGCCTGGTGGGAGGTGATTGGATCATGGGGGCAGAGTTCTCATGAATGGTTTAGCACCACCCCCCCATGAGTGAGTTCTCAGGAGATCTGATCTCCCTCCTCTCTCTCTTCCTGCTGCTCTGACCACGCGAGGCGTTCCTGCTTCCCCTTCCCTTTCCACCGTGATTGTAACATTCCTGAGACCTCCCCAGAAACAAATGCCAGCATCATGCTTCCTGTACAGCAGGTGGAACTGTAGGCCAATTAAACCTCTTTTCTTTATAAATTACCCAGTCTCAGGTATTTCTTTCTAGCAAAGCGAGAACAGACTAATAAAACAGGAAGGATGGTAGTACCATTCACCAAGATAGGCAATACAGGATCGGGGTGTGGTTGGAGGAAAGGTGATTAGTTTTAAACATGGCAACAGCTGCTAAGTATTGGTGACTAAGGCCATTCTGAGCTCACAGCTGAGGATCAAATGAGTGAAATCCCCCACATTCTAAATTCCTAGAACCACAGCTGTTGGAGTGGGCCAGCCACACCCTGACAAGGCTTGCTAAGAGAAGTCAGGAAGCAGAACCAGCACCACCACCTCTCACCCTAATATAAAGTGAGGCTAAAAGGCAGAAGGCCATTGCCTTTTGTAGAAGTACAGTGCTCATCTAGGATGATTTGTTCCCCAGAACAACGGTAGGTGGTGGGTTGCCTCCCATCCTCAAAGCCAAGGATAAGAGATGTCCAGACAACCACTCACAGGTTTGTAAGTATTTGACATGTGTTACCTGTCTGAGCAGCTGAAGGACGCTATGCTCACTATCTATCCTCTGTGCCACCACAGTAGAGGAAAAATACATTGGGAAGAGATGGCATGATGGGGGACTGCCAGACAAAGCAGGGATCAAAACTGTCTTCACCTGAAGTCATGGTGTCCTGGAGGCTTGAAAGGTGGATTCCACAAAAGCCTGAAGACCCAGGAATTGACTGTGGTGAGTAAACCATATTGGGGGCCTTGGTCTTGTCTGGCGACGCCACAATATTGGGCAAAGAGAGACACACATCAGAGGAATGAGACATAAGGCTGCCAGCTCAGGGGCTGGGCTTGAGTTGAGAATGAATCTCTTATAAGAAACCCCTAGCATCTAGAGTTGCTGGGTAGGAGCAAATCTTTTGTCTGATGATGTTGTCTTCCTTCATCTGTCCACACTAACACAAGGGCAATAAGCCGGGTCTCAAGGGGCATGTCTCCCTTCTATTTTTCTCTCCCTGGTCATTACCAGCAGGAGGTATCACAGACTTACAGGTTGTGTGTGACCCAGACCACACATCTATTCTGCAGGGAATAGGAGAGAAGGAGAGAGCCTTACACGGGATATGGATAGTCAGTTTTTTTTTTTTTTTTTTGAGACAGAGTCTTAGACTTGCTCTGTCACCCAGGCTGGAATGCAATGGTGCAATCTGGCCTCACTGCAACCTCTGCCTCCTGAGTTCAAGTGATTCTCCTGCCTCAGCCTCCTGAGTGGCTGGGATTACAGGTGTCCGCCACCATGCCCAACTAATTTTTGTATTTTTAGTACAGATGGGGGTTTTACCATGTTGGCCAGGCTAGTCTCGAACTCCTGACTTCAGGTGTTCCACCTGCCTCAGCCTCCCAAAATGCTGGGATTACAGGCGTGAGACACTGGGCCCAGCCATTTTTTTAATTAACAGGTAGCAATAATTATTGTAATGACTAAAAGTGACCAAGACATGATATGGGGCTGAAATTATTAAGGAAGTCTGCTTTCCATAGAAAACAGTATTTTGACCCAGCAGTGACTGGCATGTTGTGTGTAACTTTATAGAGAGGCCAAGGTCGTGAGAAACTGAGGCCTTTTACCAACAGCAAGGTGGACTCCCAGCCCCTTCAGGTGCGACAGCTTGACCATAAGAGCATAAGAAATCCTGAGATGGAACCCAAAGCTAAGATACTCCTGGACTCCCAACCCGCACACATTGAGAGATAATAGACGTTTGTTGTTTTAAGTTGGTAGTTTTGGGGTCATTTGGTATGCAACAATAGATAACCAATGATTGTGCTGAGTTGGGCCAAGGGGACCAGACATGTACATTGGATTTATTTATTAGTCATTGGATGCAGGCTGTGCTGGAAGGAAGCGTGACTCTGGACGAGGCCATTTCCTTCAGCCATGGTGTAAAGTTTATTCTCTGTAGGTTTATTGCCGAGTTAAAAACGAGGAAACTGAGGCCAGCACAAGAAAATTACATGCCAATTTATTCAGCTTCCAGGCGAGGTTCTGTGGTACCGGGGAGAGGTGCCACGGAAGTCGCACCTGACTCCGCACAGGAGTGGGGTTTTATAGGGAGTGAAACAGGGTGTGGACAGGGTGAGCTGCTATTGGTAGGTAGGTGGGATTTCCGGTGAGTGGGCTAAGTGCTGAGTGCAGAGGGGATTTCCAAGGGTGGGGTTAGGTGCCCAGTGCAGAGGGGATTTCCAAGGCGGGCTAGATGATGGGCATATTCTGATAATGTAATTTTCCAGCGGGGAGGGAGATGGGCATGTCCAAACTCCTGGCGAGGCAACCAGCCTTACACAAGACAGCCCCCGCAAGAAGGCAGTCAGCTGAAGGCTGTTTTTGGCCAACATTCACTGGGTGACCAAGTCCTTTACTGCTGAAGCGGGGATCTGGACAGTTTATCAGGTGGTTAGTTGGAGGCTCTTGGGAGTCTCCTGAAAGAAGCTTCTAGGTGCTGCCAAGGGAGAAATTGGAATTTGAGGAGCCTGGGAGCCTTCTTCATCTTCTATTTTCCTCTTGACCACTGCTCTCCTTTTAAATGGTGGTGTTTCCCTGGGCTTTATCCTTGACTCCCTCCTACATCTGTGAGAAGAAGGGCCAGGGAGAGCAGTGTCCATAAAGTGGAGGAAGAAGAGGGCATTAGGAAGACAGCTGTGGTCAGTGAGGGCTCTCTGGATGTATTGGTTGCCCTCTAAGGTGAAACTGGACAGCACACACAAGGGGAGTGGTGGAAAGAAGCTTAACAAAGGGACTCCTTACAGAATTGAGGTCAGGCTGAGGGGCCCCAAAAGGGACCATAGGACTCTTCCCACCCCTAGGCCTGTGGGGGTGAGAGCATGGAGTGGGTGCTGGTACTAGGGGAGGGCTATCTTCATGGAGAAATCTGACTGTGGGATGAAGCCATGAACTTCAGAGAGGAACACAAGCCACCGAAGGTTGGTGCTGCCCACAAGTCAGCCTCACAGGGCACACAGCAGGGTGAAGGAGGGCAGGAAGCTCATCTGCAAAGGCAAGAATGACAGGAGTCAGCAGAAAAGAGTGAGAAATGTTCATGACTGATCGCCTCTTAATAGCAATTTAATGTTTGGGTACACTGCTAAACTTTAAGGATGATATCAAAGAAACGAGTATTCTCTTTTTCCATAAGAATTCCTGGTGCCACTGACGGATCCTAGCTAAAGGGACCACTGGTCTGATTCAGAGGAGTATTACGTTCCCAGGAAGTTATGAAGTTCCCTAGGACACTATATCAGTGTTGTATGTGTCAGTGTTGACGTGCCAGCTGTGGTAGTGTACTACAGTTTTGCAAAATGTCACCACTGGGGGTAACCAGCTAAAGGATACAGGCTATCTCTGTATTATTTCTACAGCTGCATGTGACTCTATAATCATCTCAAGATTAAAAATGTAATTAAAAATTAATTCACTTATTCTACTTGAACGAGTTAAGAACATGCTATTCCAAAGTGTGCTGCTCTGGCATATTGGCTATTTTGAGTTTAGGCACTAAAAAAACAGCAGGAAAAGAAGATCACTCAGCCCTTCCTTTTGTTTTTTTGAAAACAAGAAGTGAAATTCCATGTGAAAGATGCCCTCCTTATACCAGATAGAAGGTATTATTCTTATCAAGGACGGGAAATCTGTACAAATGAAACTTGTTAAATTCACCCTTATTTTCCTAGTCACTTCTCTACCCAATTAACCACCCTAGTCCAGGCTCTTTTACCTTGTCACATTTTAATAATTCATGGCTCTTTGTCTAATTCAGTATAAGCGTTCAATGCTGCATCTTTGAATCTGCATTTCCCTAGCCATGTAACATGTGTATTATATTTGTATGCTTTTCTCCTGTAGATCTGTCTTCTGTAAATTGAATTCTTAGGCCCAACTGAAAAACCCTAGAAAAGCAGAGGTCAAGTTTTACTCTCCCTGCATCCTTAGGATAATTAAATGTGAGGCTTTAGGCATCAATATAGAGTTCCCCAGTCATAACTGAGCTACTTAGTATTCCAGTTTTACCAGAATGAAATCTTTGAGTTACTTGATATGCCATGACTTGAATTTTATTTCTGTCAAATCTGGCTGTTGTTGTGTTGAATAGGAAGAATAAACCCAAGGCCTGGAAGAGAGGCCTGAGACCTTGGAAAGGCAGTGAACAAATCGTAATCAGACCTGACTCGTGTGCACACAGGCCTCTACCTCTCCTGTTGCTCTTGTGATAGAACTCCTCTGCCTGGTGGGCTGTTCTCCTACAGAAAGATTTGGAGATCTTACATGCTGTTGTTCTTGAACAGGCTTTTCAGTTCATGGAATTAACTAGCTCATTTATCATTAGAACAAAGTGGTAATTTAAAAAACAAATCCACATTAACAGGCTGTTTGCGGGGAACAACAGCTGCTCCAAGATCCCAGGGGAGGAGGGGGTGTTAAAATACCTGATCCCAAAGATATTTCTAGACCAGAAGCTTGATGACCTATTAAATAATGAGTGTGTGGAATATGTAAAGTATCCAGGTGCATTTTTACCCCCAGATTTTTTTTTTTTTGCAGACTTAATCAATGGAGCTGGGAGTGGTGGCTCATGCCTGTAATCCCAGCACTTTGGGAGGCTGACGTGGGAGGGTTGCTTGAGCTCAGGAGCCAAGACCAGCCTGGGCAACATGGTGAGACCCCGTCTCTTTATATTAAAAAAAAAAAATTGGTAGGCTAAAGTTACAGAACAAATACAATTCTTGGTCCTGTATACAAAACAACTCTCAGTGACAGCATGCTCTTTTTCCATATCCTTGAAGATCAATTTAAGTAGTTCTATTTTAGGGCAGGATGTGTTTCATGCAGCATGAATTTGAATGTCTTTTTTTTAAAAAAAAATGCAATTGGAACAGTCAGGACTGCAATTTTATCTGTCTTCTCATATGAAAGTATCAGTAGCTTATTAAACAGCACTAGACCGGGAAATACAAGGGCATTATAATGAATAAGTCTAAGCTCATTATGATCTCAGCGAACAGGTTTAGATTCAGCACAATACTAGAACTGATTAACATCTATGGCACAAAGTACACATCTGATCCATTTCAATGGAGCCATTATTTAGTGTGACACTGCACTGCTGAATGCAGCCATATTTGTGGAAAGACAGGAAGTTGTCACAGGGCCAGGAGCAGTGGCTCATGCCTGTAATCTCAGCACTTTAGGAGGCCAAGGCTGGAGGATCGCTTAAGCCCAGGAGTTTGAGACCAGCTGGGCAGCATAGTGAAATCTCTATCTTTAACAAAGAAAACAGAAAAAATAAAAAATAACTAGAAAGTCATTACAACATAATTTTATACCAGAAAATGTACTATCAAGACCCATAGACATATATAAACATGGCCCCTTTCCTAGGCATAGACACTTAAATCTTTATCACCTAAGAAAGATGAAGGTCTCAGGCAGAAATACAGATCCTTTATTAACTAAAACGTCTTGTTACATCTGACCCCTTAAATTATCTCACTAATTACATTTAAATTAAAAAATGTGGGACGGATTAGACTTAAATGAATTTAAAACAAGGTTTCTAGTACAGCTGGATGGCTGTTTTGCTAGAATCAGTTTATCTTTAAGTTTCATTTAGAGTTGTTAATGGGGTTTCTCTTTAACTCTGTTTGACCTGCCTATCATCACAGCGAATTGCCAAATGACCTACAAGGTAGAATAAACTTTCTTGGACCTTGTTTCAGGTCAGGTATCATTGGAAATTTCCCTTTTTCATTTTATCATTTTTGAGACAGAGTCTCCACAGGCTGGAGTGCAGCGGCATGATCTCAGCTCACTGCAATCTCTGCCTCCAAGGTTCAGGCGATCCTCCCGCCTCAGTCTCCCAAGCAGCTGGGATTACAAGTGTGTGCCACATGCCCAGCTAATCCTATTTTGTATTTTTTGTAGAGATCGGATTTCGACACGTTGGCCAGGCTGGTCTTGAACTCCTGGCCTCATGTGATCCACCTGCCTTGGCCTCCCAAAAGTGTTGGCATTACAGGCATGAGCCACTATGCCTGGCCTAAGTTTCCTTTTTTTATTTAGCAGTCCTGAGCTGGGTTTACAACCTGAATTAAGTCCTTGTTGTGAAATTGTGTGATGTTGAGGAAATCACAGGACTTTGCTGAGCTTCAATTTCCTCATCTGTAAAATGAGGATAATGCTGCAGAATTCAGAGGTAACATGTAAAAGCACCCAGCACAGGGCCTGCCCACAGTAGACCCTATAGTCATCAACATCAAATAAAGCTGATTAACCAGCTTGATTTGAAACTTATTTCTACTTTACATGATTTCACAATAAGTCTGAGACATGCTGTAAAAGATTTTCATGTCTTTCCCTGATAAACACAAATGAAACAAAACAAAGGCGTAGGGCTTGGTTTTCAAAGATAAAAGACTAGATAGTGTCCTCTAGTGGTAAGCAGACAAAATGCTTGAAGGCTATTGATCTATTTTCTCCACTACTTAGGATTCAGCCTGAAGTGGATCACCGAAATGCAGTGTAAAGCTGGGAGATCAAATGTAATTAATACCTGGATAAGAAGTTAACCTTCATGCCATCCTATAAAACAATAAAATAAAGGAAAACGTCCTTGCCCTCTATTATGCCAAAAATTGCGGTTTAATCATATGAGCAACAAAAGAATCAGGGCCAGGCAAAGTGGATCATGCCTCTAATCCCACCACTTTGGGAGGCGAAGGCAAGCAAATCACTTAAGCCCGGAAGTTTGAGACCAGCCTGGGCAACATGTGAAACCCCATTTCTACCAAAAATACAAAGATTAGCCAGCCATGGTGGCATGCACCTGTGGTCTCAGCTACTTGGGAGGCTGAGGTAGAAGGATTGCTTGAGCCTGGGAGGTTGAGGCTGCAGTTAGCCATGATAACACCACTGTATTCTAACCTGGAAGACAGAGAAAAACCCTGTGTCAAAAAAAAGTCAGAGGTCGTGGTGGCTCACGCCTGTAATCCAAGCACTTTGGAGGCCAAGGCGGGCGGATCACATGAGGTCGGGAGTTCAAGACCACCCTGACCAACATGGTGAAACCCTGTCTTTTTAAAAACAAAAAACAAAAAACAAAAACAAAAGCAAAACAAAACAAAAATCAGCCAGAAAAATATCAAATCATATTTGATTTTTTTGTTGGTCAAATATGAGCCATTTTGATTCATTTTTGCACAAATGACCAGATAGTACATTAAAATTTATTTCACTAGTTCCTTAAGTGGAATTTAAAACTTCTTTCCAAATATATAGAGTAGTTCACAATGGATCATTGTAGAGAATTTGATAGTCTCTGACAGTGTAGTAAAAAGAAAACGTGCTGTAGGATCTTCTCTGACGACATTCTCTAAGCACTAGTTGCTAAAAAGCTTGCCTTCACTGGACGTTAGCAGGGCTGGTTCCCATCCACCTTCTGAACGCTTACAATCTCCATTTCTACCAACATTGCTGCTCTTGAAATTCAATCCGTGCAGTACAAGATGGTGGTTAAGAGCATGAACTCTGAAGCCAAACTGGGTTTAAATCCTAGTTTTATCATTTGCTGACTATGTGAGCTTGATCCCTCAGTTTCTTCATCTATAAAACATCAGTGTTAATAATAGCTACCTCACAGGTGCTTCTCATGGTGAATTAAGCTAATATATGGACAGTGATTAGAATAGAGGAATTATTATTGAGCAGCTGTTATGCACCTATACCTCTTTAGGGGCTATAGAGAATGCATCAGAAGCCTAAAATCTAGGCCCTGTCGTCAAGATTTCGTAGTTTATATGGAAATATCTTGATAGAGTATTGGGCCTTTACTCCACTTGTTGGTTGCAGGAGTGGGACTTTTTCTTAAAACATACCCCTGGCTTCTCATGTCCCTATTTTTGTTCTCCTGCAAGAAGTGGAGTAATTTTCTTGGAGTGAAGTGGCTTTGGGTCTAATCCCACAAGAAAAAGGACACACATTTTCCTTTTTTCTTCTATTTATTTATTTATTTTATTAAAAAATTTTTAAAAATATATATTTTATTGTGTTTTAGGTTTTGGGGTACACGTGAAGAACATGCAAGATTGTTGCATAGGTACACACATGGCAGTGTGGTTTGCTGCCTTCCTCCCCATCACCTATATCTGACATTTCTCCTAATGTTATCCCTCCCCAACTCCCCACCCCCCGCTGTCCCTCCCCTATTTCCCACCACAGACCCCAGTGTGTGATGCTCCCCTCCCTGTGTCCATGTGTTCTCATTGTTCTACACCCACCTATGAGTGAGAACATGCGGTGTTTGATTTTCTGTTCTTGTGTTAGTTTGCTGAGAATGATGGTTTCCAGGTTCATCCATGTCCCTACAAAGGACACAAACATAGTTTTTGATGGATGCATAGTATTCCATGGTGTATATGTGCGACATTTTCCCTGTCCAGTCTATCATCGATGGGCATTTGGGTTGGTTCCAAGTCTTTGCTATTGTAAACAGCACTGCAGTGAACATTCATGTGCATGTGGACACACATTTTCAAATGGAGTTAGGAAGTACATTTGGCCCTTACTTTATAGTATATCCTACAATTTGGCTCCAGCAATAATTAAGGTAATAACCTGGGTTCTGGGCATCAACTACCTGTTATAGTTCATTTTTTTTCAGAACTCAGTCTGAGACGTGGCGAACTATTTACTGAGGAGACACTTAGAGACCCCACAGAACACAAGAGTCATTCAATGCCAACTTCTATGGTGTGAACCTGCTATGAAAACATTTCCAGAAATGAGAGTTTGATGTAGACTGAAGCAACAGGAATCAATTTTCATGGAAGTGGGACCTAAGCTGGTTCTTGAAGAACAGGATAGAATTTGGATGAGGAGAGCTGGGCGCGGTGGCTCATGCTTGTAATCCCAGCACTTTGGGAGGCCGAGGCGGGTGGATCACGAGGTCAAGAGATTGAGACCATCCTGGTCAACATGGTGAAACCCCGTCTCTACTAAAACTACAAAAAATTAGCTGGGCATGGTGGCGCGTGCCTGTAGTCCCAGCTACCCAGGAGGCTGAGGCAGGAGAATTGCTTGAACCCAGGAGGCGGAGGTTGCGGTGAACCGAGATTGCGCCATTGCACTCCAGCCTGGGTAACAAGAGCGAAACTCTGTCTCCAAAAAAAAAAAAAGAATTTGGATGGGGAGAAGGAAAAAAAAGAGCCTTTCTGCAAGCAAAACAATTACTTTTGAAGTTTGTACTTCCATATAATTGAAATATATAAAATACTGATTAAAATTAGTTATATTCCTGTTTGATGACACATGGTGACCTAACCAGGATATGGCAGAGAAATAGGTGACAAAGGTCCTTGCTGCCTGATTTTCTATTATTATGTGACCCAATTGCCAGGAATGTTGTAAGCATTTTGCACGTATTAAGTCACTTACCCCTTACGACAACTGTATGACATAGACATCATCTCTCCTGCCTTACAGCTGAGGCTACTGAAGCATAGAGAGTAGTCATCAGCCTAATGTCATACTGCCAGCAAGAGACAGAACGGGGGTTCTAACCCAGGTAGTTTGACCCTGCAGCACATTCTCTTGCATCATTCAGCTTTACGATTTCTCAGCCCAAGGGAAGAGGCTGAGTGTTCTCTCTTGTGAAGGGAACCAAGGAAGAGATCAGAGTGATGGCTTGGACTTTGGAAGCTGCCACACGAAGCTGGAGGTAGCAGGAACTCATCAATGGAGGGTTTGGAAAGCAAAGACACAGGAACTTGGCTATGGAGAAAGAAAAATAAGATTCATCTTTCCATGTTCCTGATCAAGAACAATTCTATACTGTTCAATGCATTACTCCCAAAGATTTCAAGGGTTCCTGTTTGGTTGATGGGACCTTATGTACATAAGAGGAGAGGGTAGAACAAAAACAAAACTGGGCCCTCTCCGCACCCCCTGGGCTGCTGCTGGGAAGGCACAGAGCTGAAAGTGGAAACATGTTCTCTTGTCCCTTTTTTCCAAGCACCTGCCTAGAAGACTAGCAAGGCAGGAGGTATGAATTTGAAGTTTCACCTATATTTGAGAGCTGAAACCACAAGATGTAAAACTCCCTGAAAAAAAAAAAAAAAAAAAGACCCTAACGGAAGCAGAAGAGAAACACCGACAGAGGAGGGCATATGGACTGCACGGTGCTATGGAAGTTACCCTCTGCACAATTTAAGAAGTTCCCAGTCAGCTACTTCAAAGAGGTGGTGGAAGATGAGAACTGGGATGAAGCCAGGAAATGTAACAATGAGCCTAAGAAGGTTGAAGAGAGGAAATGAAACTTGGCTCTGCCCTTAAGACACTATCACACGGAGTCAAAAAAGGCATGTCTGGTTCATGTGGGCCTCCTCACTGTTTCCCACCCTCCTGGGACTTAGGGCGTCTTTCAAGTTGGCTGGGATGGGCACGGGGGTGAGGAACTGAGTCCTCGAGTTACAAAATTGGAATTCTTTTCTGTGCATTCGGCTTGCCTCCTTGGCACCACACCTCTCCCATGGGCTCTTCTCAACCCTCCTACTCTCCTGATCTTTGATATTCCCTCTGCTGTTAGCTGGATTTGCCCATGTCACAGGCAGTTCATTTCCTGGTGACCACCCCTGTCCAGCTGTGACCTTCAAGAGAGGCCCTGCCCCATGTCTCTCTCAGCCCCTGCCCGACCCCTGTGCAGACTGTTCCACTCCTTCCAGGAAGCATTAGCCAGCCTCTCCTCCTTGCCTCTTCTGGCTCCCTAGAGCTACTCTGCCACCCACAGATTACCTCAGCTGTGCCTGCAGACTTGTCACTTTGCGCATCTGCTGCCCTTCTGCTCCCCCTACAGGCAGGGTGGTGGATGCACAGTAAGGTGATCCCCACCCAGGAAGTCGTGCCCTGGTGGACACCCTTCCCCTGAGTGCTGGTAGTACCTGGGATTTGCGTCTAACCAGGAAAATATGAAAAAGTTGATGGGATGTGTGATAGGATTATATGTATATACATATATATGTATGTAAAGCATGAAAATCATAGTTCCTGGCTCAGAGCTCCCATAGCCCTCTTGTTATAGTCCTTTTGTTATAAGGTTGGAGCATTTTAAGCCTTGGGAACAAGCCTCAGGAAACAATCTCTCTCACGCTCTCTCTCTCTCTGAAATTCCGTCCTCCTTTTGCCTGCCCAAGGCAGGACTCTAATCTGATTGCAGCTCAAAAGACCCTCATTCCAGAGACAGTCCTGCCCCATACCCTGCAGGAAGGAATGCTGCACAGGAAGGCCAAGAAGAATCTGATCCGGCGGGTCTTACTGGGTTTCCCCACTCAGCCTATTCACTTGAAATCATACCTTTTTGTCCAATCACATCTCTACACTATTGTCAATCATGCCTATGTAATGAAGTCTCCTTTAAAACACAAGAGGGCCGGGTGTGGTTGCTCATGCCTGTAATACCAGCATTTTGGGAGGCCAAGGCAGGTGAATTGCTTAAGCCCAGGAATTCAAGATCAGTCTGGGCAACATGGTGAAACTAGGTCCTACAAAAATTACCAAAAAATAGCCAGGTGGAGTGGTGTGCTCCTGTAAGTCCTAACTACTCAGGAGGCTGCGGTGAGAGGACTGCTTAAGCCCTGGAGGTAGAGGTTGCAGTGAACCGTAATTGTGCCACTGCACTCCAGCCTGAGTGACAGAGTGAGACCCTGTCTCAAAAAGCAACCCCACAACCGCTCCCCTGCCACAACTCCATGACACACAAGAGGACAGGGTTGAGAACTTCCTTATAGGTGAATGTGTGGAGGTTCCTGGAGGGTGGTACACCTGGAGAGGACCTGCAAGCTTTGTACCCCTCCCCTATACCTTGCCCTACACACTTCTTCATCTATATCCTTTGTAATATACTTTATAATAAATGAATAAATGCAAGTGTTTCCCCAAGTTCTGTGAGCCACTCTAGAAAATTAATGGAATCCTGCTAGATGCAGTGGCTCATGCCTGTAATCCCAGCACTTTGGGAGGCCAAGGTGGGTGGATCACCTGAGGTTAGGCATTAGGGAGCAGCCTGGCCAATATTGTGCAACCCCCTCTCTAATAAAAATACAAAAACTAGCGCTTGAGCGCAGTGGCTCCCATTTGTGATCCCAGCACTTTGGGAGGCCAAGGTGGGTGGATCATGAGGTGGGGAGATCGAGACCATCCTGGCTAACATGGTGAAACCCCTTCTCTACTAAAAATATGAAAATTAGCCAGATGTGGTGGCACATGCCTGTAGACCCAGCTACTCAGGAGGCTGAGGCAGGAGAATCGCTTGAACCTGGGAGGCAGAGGTTAGTGAGTCAAGATCATGCCATTGTACTCCAGCCTGGGTGACAGAGCAAGACTTTGGCTCAAAAACAAAAAACTTGCAGGGTGTGGGGTGGTGTGCACCTGCAATCTCAGCTATCTAGGAGGCTGAGGCAGGAGAATCACTTGAATCTGGGAAGTGGAGATTGCAGCGAGCTGAGATTGCACCTCTGCCCTCCAGCCTGGGCAACAGTGTGAGACTCCATCTCAAAAAAAAAAAAAAAAAAAAAATTGAAACCAAAGAGAGGGTCATGGGAACCTCAACTTAAAGAAGTTCTGGAGGCTTGGACTAGTGATTGGTAGGACTGGGCCCTCAACCTGTGGGATTTGACGCAGTCCCCAGGTAGACAATGTCAGAACTGAATTGGAGGACACCAGGCTGGTTTCCACTGCAGAATCTACTGCTTACTTGCTGGTGGAAAGAAACCTCCACAAAATTCGTAGTCATAGAAGTCTTCTGTGTTTATTGTTGTGTTGATATGAGTAGAGGAGTTTGGCTTGACAGTTTTTTTGAAACAGGGTATCATTCCCTTGATCACATTTTGTTATACAAGACTGTCTAAGCTAACTAGAGAGACTTTCTTGCTGACTTTGAAGATAGGAACTGCCATGTGGTGAAAGGGTCATGAGGCAAGGAACTATGGGTGGCTTTTAGGAGCTGACAGCAGCCCCAAACAGCCAGCAAGGGCAGCAAGTGGCTCATGCCTGTAAGCCCAGCACTTTGGGAGGCTGAGGCAGGAGGATAACTCAAGACTAGGAGCCAGCCTGGGCAACATAGTGAGACCTGTCTGTATAAAAAGTACAAAATTAGCAAGATGCAGTAGTCTGTGGCTGTGGTCCAAGCTACCTGGGAGGCTGAGGCAGAAGGAACACTTTAGCCCAGGAGGTTGAGGCTGCAGTGAGTCAAGGTCACACCACTGTACTCCAGCTTGGGCAACAGAGCGAGACATTGTCTCTTAAACAAAACAAAACAAAATACAACAACCGGCAAGGAAATGGAGGCCTTTGTTTTAGGATGAAAGAAATTCATGCCTGGACTCCTGACCTGCTGTGAGAAAGTGTGAAATAATAAATGTGTGTAAATTTTAAGGTGCTAAGTTTGAAGTAAAACATTGCACAGCAATAGACAATAAAGATAGGCAAAATAGATGTGCTTGTGAGAGGCTTGGCAATTCAAAGAAATCCAGACAAAAATAGCACATTGTTCAAAGCTTTTTATATAGAACTTTATAGACTGTCCTAGCCCATATTACCATATGTATTTAATCCTTCCTATATAAATATATTTTTATCCTATATAAATATATTATTTATCCTATATAAATTATGTTTCTGAGAAGTCATTTTTGTCAGGTTCCCACCAAGAATGCAGAAACCATAACGACTACTAGAAATAGGAGGATGTAATATACATAACTCACTATATAGGAGATGGAGACAGATGAAAAGCCAAGCAGAGGATAGAGAGGCAACCCAGAGATTAGCAGCACCAGGAAGCCGCTTTTACTCAAGTCTATAGCGCCAGAGGGAAGAGGCAGTGTTTGCAGAACCCAGAGGCAAGTTTTACCCAGCAGAGGCTGGTAATGGTGACCCAGTATCCAGGGAAGACTGGACAATGAAGAGATGCGCTGCTGGAGCCCGAATAGGGATGGGGAGACACTTTCTCTTTTCCCTTCCTGCCGGTCTACAGTGTCCCTCCAGAACCTACCAGTGGCCAAACCCAGCTGGACATTGGCTGGCAGGGGAGCCTTGGAAATGTAGCCAACAGGGGTCAGGTCCTGCATGAGCTGAATTGTGTCCCCCCAAATTCACATGTTGAAGCCCTAGCCTCCAGTAGTTCAGAATGTGACTGTATTTGGAGATAAGGTTCCGGGGTCTGAATGTTCGTTTCCCCCACCCCCCACCACCCCTGCCTCAAATTCATATGTTGAAACCTAATCCCCAATGGAATGGTATTGGGAGCTGGAGCCTTTGGAAAGTGATTAGATTGCAAAGGCAGCATCCTTGAATGGAATTAGTGCCTTTATGAAAGGAGCCCCAGAAACCTGCCTTCCCTTCTATCATGTGAGGACACAGTAAGAGGACACCCTCTGTGAACCCGGAACGGGTCTCACCAGACACCAAATCTGCCAGTGACTTGATGATGGACTTCTCAGCCTCCAGAATTGGGAGATATAAATTTCTATTGTTTATGGTTAATGAGTCTATGGCAGTGTGAACAGACTAAGAAATTTGGTCTTTAAAGAGGTGATTAAGTTAAAATGAGGCTGTTAGGGTGGGGATTAATTTGATCTAACTGGTGTCTTTACAGAAGAAGAACTCTGGGCTGGGTTCCGTGTCTGATTCCTGTATCCCAGCACTTTGGGAGGCTGAGGCAGGTGGATTACCTGATGTCAGGAGTTTGAGACCAACCTGGGCAACATGGTGAAACCTCATCTCTACTAAAAATACAAAAATTACCCAGGTGTGGTGGTGCATGCGTTAGTCTTAGCTACCTGAGAGGCTGAGACAGGAGAATTGCTTGAACCTGAGAGGCAGAGGTTGCAATGAGCCAAGATCATGCCACTGTACTCCAGCCTGGACAACAGAGCAAGATTCTATCTCAAAAAAAAAAAAAAAAAAAAAAAAAAAGAAGAAGAAGAAGAAGAAATCTGGACACAGAGACAACAGGAAGACACATGCACACAGGAAAGACAAATTCACATGAGGACATGGTGAGAAGGCAGCCATCTGCAAGCCAAGGAGCAAGGCCTCAGGAAATCAGCCCTGCCAACAGCTTGACATGGGATTTCTAGCCTCCAGAATTGTGAGAAGATAGATTGCTGTTGTTAGCCACCCAGTTTATGGTATTTTGTTATGGCAGCCCAGGCAAACTCTCATA